TTAGGTGGCATTTTACTTCCGCCCGAGCCTTTCTCCAAGCAAACAAGACCGTGAGGTTGACCTTCTTCAGATCACCACATAAAAGGGTCTGTCACCCCTAAAACAATGCATTACTTTTGGCAGGACATCTTTTTGGTGGCGTTTGTAGAGACTCTATCGACGGAGCTTGACATATCAGAGAGGCAGATTGCCGATTGCGGGTGGCCTTACGGCGCAAAGCACGCCCAGGATTCTTTTATTGCCACGCCTATGAGGGATTGGGCGTAGCGTATGGACTCCGGGGGAGTATCAGGCCATCCTCAGTACAGGTTGTTGGTTACCTTTGTTCGTGGAGGGGACATGTGCCAGTTTGTCGTAGGACGCGATGGGATGCTTTGGGAGAGCATTGCCATCCACTGGCAGCAAGCAGCGCGGGTGGTTCAAATAACAGCGCATGACTTAGTTAGAGATTCTTGTATGATATCCTCGAAGAGCAGCAGAATCCCATCCAAGAAAGGGAAGCCGCCGTCAACTTTCTCACTCCTCCTGGAGAGGCTAGCATCTACTTTAACGGCCGGCAGACGTTCTTGTCTTACAGTTGGAGCGCGGGGGAAGCACGCTTGGGTTGATCTTACGGGGCTGTCTCCGTTGGGGGGTTTGGAATTTGAGTGTCAAAAGCGTTGGGCATGCACGTATAGGCGGCAGAGGCAAAAGTGGGAAAACATGATCCAAGCTTGTAAGGACAACCACCCACAGTTTCATCCCGTTCGCGTTCGATACGTTGGTTACCCTTGCAGCGATGCTGTGAGTTACCTCAGACGAGGGTACCAAAAATTCTGAATAGAATGTCCGATAGCTAGGGTCAGCTGTATGTACCGCTCGTTTCGTAGGTTAGGTTTCGCAATCAGAAAGTATTAGCGGCCGCAGTTATGCTGCCTGCTTGTCATCACAATGTGTAATTTTTTTCATCTCTTATAAAATTCTTTAATAATAAAAGGATAATATTTTGGAAAATAAAACTCTCCAGTACATGAACAGCAACAAAACAACTCGACATTCAGAAGAAATATTAACACAACATCAGATAGGAATCTCAGTTCTCATTATCTCAACCCAACTGATAACATCCAATATAAAGTATTAACTTAAAATGCAACAGGGGAAAACAAAAACATAACAAAACCAAAGTCTACCTTAGCTAAACCCCAACAAAAAAATGATAATATGCATTAGAACAACAAATTTATAAAGAATCTCCTTCATCAATCGCTCAACCCCTTCCTCCTCAAGCAACAAGCAAGGCATATCCTTCGAGCCCAAGCATTCAATAAGGTTCAAGCGGAGAGGATCGACGACGGGGGCAGTAGTCATGAGCGACCGGAGAGGGCAGGTCGGCAACGAGCGGAAGGAGAGTTCACCGAGAGCACGATTGCAGAAGGGTGGACGGCCAGATAGAGATTAAGGATTCTGAGGGGAGGGACAGAAACGAGGTAGGGCTTGATTAATGGGCCTGAGCCGACAGGCCGATCTTGGCGCGTACTATTGAAAACTGATCGGCGGCGGTACTGTCGCTGATAATTTCACTGAGTCAATTATTAGAGATGGCCTCGATTAGCTAGAGGATCCGGATCCCAGTCTTAGATCTGTCATAGAGCAGACATTGGTGCTGGCTATTATCTTTAGCTATCTGATTCCTTTTTCCATATTTTTTCCCTCAACAATATAAAAAACCTTTTTCTATCTGAAATTGACACAGGCGCGACGGCGTGATGGTACAATCTCCACTTATGCTTTTCTTGATTCAGCATCGATCGATTAATTCGAATCAGCTGCAACCATCTCGATCGCTCTTCAACCATTCAATTATTTAATTTTTTAAACGTTTATATGTTGCCTGTGCCGGTCCTGTGCAGAAATCGCAATTAGGTGCTGATAATAGATGAACTTTAGCCAACTTAACACCATCTCTTCCGCTGAGATTGACACGCAATTAATATTGACGGGAGAGAGAGTCTCGGACATTTGCGTGATTTTTGCAACAAAAGTCCATGCGTTACCTTGATCCACGAGCTTGGGTAATAGATGCAGGATTTCTCTGCCAAAAACAAAGTATTCCGGCATAATCACCGAGACTCATTTTAAATCGCGGGAATGCAAGACAAACGCCCAGCAAGCGTGGAATACGTACGCATTATGCGGGGGTGCGGTCCTAGAAATGTTTCTCTCATCTCTCATCTCTTATATTAATTACGGGTATATTATATCACCAATGTTTTTACTTTGTTCTTGAGAAACGACACTTGCTTCCCTTGTCAATTCAACCTTGTGTTGATCAATAAAAACTCTCGTTCGCGGTATATTAATAAGTTTGTGAACATGAATATTTCAGGAATAAACAGTTTGTACGGGATAAGTTTGTCGGACTAAAACAACTGCAAAAATACAACACTCAAAAAGGTGATTCAAGCTTTGACACCAATCGATGGTCACGAGGGAAGACATCCGTGGTCCATAAGGTCATCGATGACACTAAAGTCAAACACAGAAGATCACTCTATTTAGGAATGGAAATCAATCATCGACGACCTATCTAGTCAACCGAATTGATGATTCTCAACATCAAGTACATCTCTCTCCGAGAAACATCACCACAACCTCTCAAAATGTGGTCTTGGAGCTCGATGGAGTGAATCCGCGAGGCCACAAAAGAAAACTGTATAGCATCGGCTGATACGAGTTGCCGTGCGAGCACTCTTGATCGCGGAATTATCAAGAGTGGGTAAAGAAGAAGAACGACAGAAGAACACAAGAGTTGAATTAGGGCGAAGGAAAATACCTTCTCTAGATTATGAGAATCAATTAGATTTGAATTAGGGCGAAGGAAAATACCTTCTCTAGATTATGAGAATCAATTGGATTTTACAAATCTCTCTCTCACAATCTCTCTAGATCAAAGAACAACCTCCCTGATCTCTTTTCTGATTACAAACTGAGTTCTAAACCCTAGAAAAGTCGTGTTTCTATTTATACTAAACAGAAATCCCAACTGGAGCAGGAAACAGACCCAGGCCCGGATCCGCGACGCGGTCGACCGCAGTGCCCAAGTCGGTCGACCGGTCAGAACGACGAAATCTGGAAAATCGATTACAGGGTTCTCCGGTCGACCGCAGTGCCACCATCGGTCGACCGA